TTATATTGTATTTTAAATGTTACTTTAAGTATTAGTTACGAACGGAAAAATACGTCCAGGGTAGCCGAGTGGACAAGGCACCTGCCCGGTAAGCAGAAGGGTGTGGGTTCGATTCCCGCCCCTGGACACTTTTTATTTTTCCGTTCGCCATTACTCTTCATGTTTCACCTTTCCATACCTCATCCTCAAAGTTAGAAATGTCGCTATTTCTCTTTGAAAATAAATTTCGATTTTTATAAAAGAAACATTCGCGGTATAATTTCAATTTTCGTTTTACAATCATCAGCCGCGTTATATTGTATTTTAAATGTTACTTTAAGTATTAGTTACGAACGGAAAAATACGTCCAGGGTAGCCGAGTGGACAAGGCACCTGCCCGGTAAGCAGAAGGGTGTGGGTTCGATTCCCGCCCCTGGACACTTTTTATTTTTCCGTTCGCCATTACTCTTCATGTTTCACCTTTCCATACCTCATCCTCAAAGTTAGAAATGTCGCTATTTCTCTTTGAAAATAAATTTCGATTTTTATAAAAGAAACATTCGCGGTATAATTTCAATTTTCGTTTTACAATCATCAGCCGCGTTATATTGTATTTTAAATGTTACTTTAAGTATTAGTTACGAGCGGAAAAATACGTCCAGGGTAGCCGAGTGGACAAGGCACCTGCCCGGTAAGCAGAAGGGTGTGGGTTCGATTCCCGCCCCTGGACACTTTTTATTTTTCCGTTCGCCATTACTCTTCATGTTTCACCTTTCCATACCTCATCCTCAAAGTTAGAAATGTCGCTATTTCTCTTTGAAAATAAATTTCGATTTTTATAAAAGAAACATTCGCGGTATAATTTCAATTTTCGTTTTACAATCATCAGCCGCGTTATATTGTATTTTAAATGTTACTTTAAGTATTAGTTACGAACGGAAAAATACGTCCAGGGTAGCCGAGTGGACAAGGCACCTGCCCGGTAAGCAGAAGGGTGTGGGTTCGATTCCCGCCCCTGGACACTTTTTATTTTTCCGTTCGCCATTACTCTTCATGTTTCACCTTTCCATACCTCATCCTCAAAGTTAGAAATGTCGCTATTTCTCTTTGAAAATAAATTTCGATTTTTATAAAAGAAACATTCGCGGTATAATTTCAATTTTCGTTTTACAATCATCAGCCGCGTTATATTGTATTTTAAATGTTACTTTAAGTATTAGTTACGAACGGAAAAATACGTCCAGGGTAGCCGAGTGGACAAGGCACCTGCCCGGTAAGCAGAAGGGTGTGGGTTCGATTCCCGCCCCTGGACACTTTTTATTTTTCCGTTCGCCATTACTCTTCATGTTTCACCTTTCCATACCTCATCCTCAAAGTTAGAAATGTCGCTATTTCTCTTTGAAAATAAATTTCGATTTTTATAAAAGAAACATTCGCGGTATAATTTCAATTTTCGTTTTACAATCATCAGCCGCGTTATATTGTATTTTAAATGTTACTTTAAGTATTAGTTACGAACGGAAAAATACGTCCAGGGTAGCCGAGTGGACAAGGCACCTGCCCGGTAAGCAGAAGGGTGTGGGTTCGATTCCCGCCCCTGGACACTTTTTATTTTTCCGTTCGCCATTACTCTTCATGTTTCACCTTTCCATACCTCATCCTCAAAGTTAGAAATGTCGCTATTTCTCTTTGAAAATAAATTTCGATTTTTATAAAAGAAACATTCGCGGTATAATTTCAATTTTCGTTTTACAATCATCAGCCGCGTTATATTGTATTTTAAATGTTACTTTAAGTATTAGTTACGAACGGAAAAATACGTCCAGGGTAGCCGAGTGGACAAGGCACCTGCCCGGTAAGCAGAAGGGTGTGGGTTCGATTCCCGCCCCTGGACACTTTTTATTTTTCCGTTCGCCATTACTCTTCATGTTTCACCTTTCCATACCTCATCCTCAAAGTTAGAAATGTCGCTATTTCTCTTTGAAAATAAATTTCGATTTTTATAAAAGAAACATTCGCGGTATAATTTCAATTTTCGTTTTACAATCATCAGCCGCGTTATATTGTATTTTAAATGTTACTTTAAGTATTAGTTACGAACGGAAAAATACGTCCAGGGTAGCCGAGTGGACAAGGCACCTGCCCGGTAAGCAGAAGGGTGTGGGTTCGATTCCCGCCCCTGGACACTTTTTATTTTTCCGTTCGCCATTACTCTTCATGTTTCACCTTTCCATACCTCATCCTCAAAGTTAGAAATGTCGCTATTTCTCTTTGAAAATAAATTTCGATTTTTATAAAAGAAACATTCGCGGTATAATTTCAATTTTCGTTTTACAATCATCAGCCGCGTTATATTGTATTTTAAATGTTACTTTAAGTATTAGTTACGAACGGAAAAATACGTCCAGGGTAGCCGAGTGGACAAGGCACCTGCCCGGTAAGCAGAAGGGTGTGGGTTCGATTCCCGCCCCTGGACACTTTTTATTTTTCCTGTTCCCCATTACTCTTCATGTTTCACCTTTCCATACCTCATCCTCAAAGTTAGAAATGTCGCTATTTCTCTTTGAAAATAAATTTCGATTTTTATAAAAGAAACATTCGCGGTATAATTTCAATTTTCGTTTTACAATCATCAGCCGCGTTATATTGTATTTTAAATGTTACTTTAAGTATTAGTTACGAACGGAAAAATACGTCCAGGGTAGCCGAGTGGACAAGGCACCTGCCCGGTAAGCAGAAGGGTGTGGGTTCGATTCCCGCCCCTGGACACTTTTTATTTTTCCGTTCGCCATTACTCTTCATGTTTCACCTTTCCATACCTCATCCTCAAAGTTAGAAATGTCGCTATTTCTCTTTGAAAATAAATTTCGATTTTTATAAAAGAAACATTCGCGGTATAATTTCAATTTTCGTTTTACAATCATCAGCCGCGTTATATTGTATTTTAAATGTTACTTTAAGTATTAGTTACGAACGGAAAAATACGTCCAGGGTAGCCGAGTGGACAAGGCACCTGCCCGGTAAGCAGAAGGGTGTGGGTTCGATTCCCGCCCCTGGACACTTTTTATTTTTCCGTTCGCCATTACTCTTCATGTTTCACCTTTCCATACCTCATCCTCAAAGTTAGAAATGTCGCTATTTCTCTTTGAAAATAAATTTCGATTTTTATAAAAGAAACATTCGCTGTATAATTTCAATTTTCGTTTTATAATCATCAGCCGCGTTATATTGTATTTTAAATGTTACTTTAAGTATTAGTTACGAGCGGAAAAATACGTCCAGGGTAGCCGAGTGGACAAGGCACCTGCCCGGTAAGCAGAAGGGTGTGGGTTCGATTCCCGCCCCTGGACACTTTTTATTTTTCCGTTCGCCATTACTCTTCATGTTTCACCTTTCCATACCTCATCCTCAAAGTTAGAAATGTCGCTATTTCTCTTTGAAAATAAATTTCGATTTTTATAAAAGAAACATTCGCGGTATAATTTCAATTTTCGTTTTACAATCATCAGCCGCGTTATATTGTATTTTAAATGTTACTTTAAGTATTAGTTACGAACGGAAAAATACGTCCAGGGTAGCCGAGTGGACAAGGCACCTGCCCGGTAAGCAGAAGGGTGTGGGTTCGATTCCCGCCCCTGGACACTTTTTATTTTTCCGTTCGCCATTACTCTTCATGTTTCACCTTTCCATACCTCATCCTCAAAGTTAGAAATGTCGCTATTTCTCTTTGAAAATAAATTTCGATTTTTATAAAAGAAACATTCGCGGTATAATTTCAATTTTCGTTTTACAATCATCAGCCGCGTTATATTGTATTTTAAATGTTACTTTAAGTATTAGTTACGAACGGAAAAATACGTCCAGGGTAGCCGAGTGGACAAGGCACCTGCCCGGTAAGCAGAAGGGTGTGGGTTCGATTCCCGCCCCTGGACACTTTTTATTTTTCCGTTCGCCATTACTCTTCATGTTTCACCTTTCCATACCTCATCCTCAAAGTTAGAAATGTCGCTATTTCTCTTTGAAAATAAATTTCGATTTTTATAAAAGAAACATTAGAGTATAATTTCAATTTTCGTTTTACAATCATCAGCCGCGTTATATTGTATTTTAAATGTTACTTTAAGTATTAGTTACGAACGGAAAAATACGTCCAGGGTAGCCGAGTGGACAAGGCACCTGCCCGGTAAGCAGAAGGGTGTGGGTTCGATTCCCGCCCCTGGACACTTTTTATTTTTCCGTTCGCCATTACTCTTCATGTTTCACCTTTCCATACCTCATCCTCAAAGTTAGAAATGTCGCTATTTCTCTTTGAAAATAAATTTCGATTTTTATAAAAGAAACATTCGCGGTATAATTTCATTTTTCGTTTTACAGTCATCAGCCGCGTTATATTGTATTTTAAATGTTACTTTAAGTATTAGTTACGAACGGAAAAATACGTCCAGGGTAGCCGAGTGGACAAGGCACCTGCCCGGTAAGCAGAAGGGTGTGGGTTCGATTCCCGCCCCTGGACACTTTTTATTTTTCCGTTCGCCATTACTCTTCATGTTTCACCTTTCCATACCTCATCCTCAAAGTTAGAAATGTCGCTATTTCTCTTTGAAAATAAATTTCGATTTTTATAAAAGAAACATTAGAGTATAATTTCAATTTTCGTTTTACAATCATCAGCCGCGTTATATTGTATTTTAAATGTTACTTTAAGTATTAGTTACGAACGGAAAAATACGTCCAGGGTAGCCGAGTGGACAAGGCACCTGCCCGGTAAGCAGAAGGGTGTGGGTTCGATTCCCGCCCCTGGACACTTTTTATTTTTCCGTTCGCCATTACTCTTCATGTTTCACCTTTCCATACCTCATCCTCAAAGTTAGAAATGTCGCTATTTCTCTTTGAAAATAAATTTCGATTTTTATAAAAGAAACATTCGCGGTATAATTTCATTTTTCGTTTTACAGTCATCAGCCGCGTTATATTGTATTTTAAATGTTACTTTAAGTATTAGTTACGAACGGAAATATACGTCCAGGGTAGCCGAGTGGACAAGCAGGTAAGCAGAAGGGTGTGGGTTCGATTCCCGCCCCTGGACACTTTTTATTTTTCCGTTCGCCATTACTCTTCATGTTTCACCTTGCCATACCTCATCCTCAAAGTTAGAAATGTCGCTATTTCTCTTTGAAAATAAATTTCGATTTTTATAAAAGAAACATTCGCGGTATAATTTCAATTTTCGTTTTACAATCATCAGCCGCATAACGCGTTATATTATATTGTATTTTAAATGTTACTTTAAGTATTAGTTACTGTTGTATTCCAATTGATTACACACAGCGCTCAACGTTAATTATACTTTAATTAACTACAAGGTAAAGGGATTAGATATAGATTAAAAGTAAACATGGAGAAAAGAATAAGTCTCGTGGCCACGCGGCCTCGCCTGGGTTACATCCACAGGTAGTGACGTCAGAGCTCCAGGGTTGCCGAGCCAGCAATCTCCTCCCTCGAAGTGACCTCCTATTCATGGATCACTTCGCCGCTTAAGAGTCTCGAACAATGAAGTTCGTGTAGGTTTCTTCCCTTATTTTCTTCAGTACTGAGGAGTTCAATTGAGTTCTGAGCATTTCTCTGGTTCCTTAGGATCATTGGATGAGATCGAGTAGGAGAAGGCTTTACAGTATCTTCATTATGGCTGTCCTCTTCTGTAGGTGTCACGTCTGCTTGATCTAATAAAGACACTGGATACTCTACAATCTCCCGTTGAGTCCCATAGCTGTAGTGTTCAACTGATGGAAGCTCCTCCCGGTTGCTGTCGTTCCTCGATACATCACTCTCTTTGAAGACACAGTCCCGAGATTCCACCACTTTCTTCATCTCAGGAATCCACACTCTGTAGCCACGTCCTCTGAGTGCATATCCAACAAGGTTACCTTTGACAGCTCTTCTTTCGAGTTTGGATTTACGGACTTGTCTTGGAATATGGACAAATACTTGACAGCCAATAGCTCTTAGGTGTTTAAGACTAGGCTTGTTCCCTGTCCACAGTTCATATGGCGTACTTTCACCATTGTGATTGTTGAGAACTCTGTTTCTGACATAGGCTGCGGTGTAAGTCAGCTCCGCCCAGGAAGCCTTTGGCAGACCACTTCCAGATATAGTGCTCCTGACAAGATCTAGGAGTGTCCTATTCATTCTTTCTGCCACACCATTCTGTTGAGGTGTATACGTCATAGTGTGTTCATGAACTATTCCGACGCTCGTGCAGAAAGTGTCCCATTCTTTGGAACAAAATTCCAAGCCATTATCCGTACGTATTCGTTTTAGTTTCCGGCTGGTTTGTTTCTCATATTCTTGAATCCACTCTTTGACTTTTCCCAGGGTTTCGCCTTTGTTTTTCAGGAAAAATACACTTGTATATCTCGTAGATTCATCAATGATGGTTAAGACGTACTTGGCTCCTCCCCAGCTCAATACGTCAAGTGGACCCATCAAATCCGCATGCACCAAGTCCAAGGGCATGATTTCTTTTTCCTCCTTGTGTGAGTGTTGAAGGAATGGCAGACGGTAAGACTTGCCGATCAAGCAGTCTTCGCACTTTTCTGGCTTTGCCGGGCTGCAATTAAGTCCTCTTACGCTTTGGTTCTTGGCCATCTTTGCTATCGTATATGCATTTACATGCATCAGCCTTTTGTGCCAAAGTTCCAGTGTAAGCTCTTCCTTGCATTCAGAAGCAAGAGAAACATGATCATTCTGATCTATCGGAGAGGATGGAGTAGTCTGGACGTAGTAAAGTCTACCCAACTTCTTTCCCTCTATCAAGAGTTTACCTTTCATGTCCATAATGTGGCAACCACTCCTGTTGAAGACAACCTTTCTACCGTTTTCTATCATTTGGCGTACAGACAGAACACTGTGACGCATATCTGGAACATACAAGGTGTTCTGGGCAACCATATTGCTGGCATCTCCCTTGTGTCCAACAATATTGGCACTGACAGTACCGATACCACATGCTTCTATAGAAGAGCCATTCGCAATAGTGATGGAACTCATATTGCTTGTGCACTCTTTCAGACATGTGAAGTAATCTCTCTTGGGAGTCATATGGTGCGTCGCTCCAGAATCTATGATCCAGGTCTCGGCGGTAGCTCCAAACAAAGTGTTGCACGTTGCCGACATATTTACGCCTTTGTTTTGGTCAAACCTCTTTGGTCTTTGTTCATTCTTTCCCTTCTTCCTGCATTCCCTTGCATAATGGCCTTTACCTCCACATTTGAAACAAACAACCTTTGCTTTAAATTGTTTTTCTGTTTCAATGGGCTTCGAAGAGGCATTAACGACCATGGCACCCACATCTTTTGGTAGATTAGACGAACGCCTTTCTGCTTCTGCCAACAGCCGTCTTTTAACTGTGGCGGTCGTGAAGTCTGAATCAGGCAAGTTACATATGGTTGAGACAACGATGTCCCAATCCTCTGGTAATCCACCCAAAAGAACCATAGCCAAATCGCCATCATCAATTTTGTCGCCAATTTGGGCCAGTTCGTTTACAATGTAGTTTATCTTCCCCATATACCCTTCCATATTGCTGTGCTGAGTCAACCTTTCGCCATATAACTGCCTTCTTAGTTGTACGGCTCGATATCTACTATCCTTTGGTGCGTATAATTTTTCCAGTTCCTCCCAGACCTCTTTCGGAGTATTCAAATGTTGAACATGCAATTGTTGTTCATCATTAATCCCGAGGCAAATTTTTGCAAACGCCTTACCCTCCCGCGACAAAAAAAGTTTTGTTGCAACAAGGTCACTAGGGTCAGGCTTAGCCTCTCCTGGATTGATCAAACTCCACAAATCGTTTTCGATTAGAACGAGTTTCATCTGGAAGCTCCAGCTGGAGTAATTAGCACCATTTAATTTTGTAATCGTTGTGTTTGCCATTTTACAAAATATTTGGTAAGTAGAAAAAAAAAGGATGGTCCAAGTAATCAAAGGAAATTTGTTTACTCACGTTTTAGGCCTTGCGCTTCTTCAGTCTGACGTTTTAAGTCTTGCGCTTCTTGTCTCAAGTTTTAGGCCTTGCGCTTCGTCAGTCTCATAATCTTTGTTGTATTCCAATTGATTACACACAGCGATCAACCTTAATTATACTTTAATTAACTACAAGGTAAAGGGATTAGATATAGATTAAAAGTAAACATGGAGAAAAGAATAAGACTCGTGGCCACGCGGCCTCGCCTGGGTTACATCCACAGGTAGTGACGTCAGAGCTCCAGGGTTGCCGAGCCAGCAGTTACGAACGGAAAAATACGTCCAGGGTAGCCAGGTGGACAAGGCACCTGCCCGGTAAGCAGAAGGGTGTGGGTTCGATTCCCGCCCCTGGACACTTTTTATTTTTCCGTTCGCCATTACTCTTCATGTTTCACCTTTCCATACCTCATCCTCAAAGTTAGAAATGTCGCTATTTCTCTTTGAAAATAAATTTCGATTTTTATAAAAGAAACATTCGCGGTATAATTTCAATTTTCGTTTTACAATCATCAGCCGCATAACGCGTTATATTATATTGTATTTTAAATGTTACTTTAAGTATTAGTTACGAACGGAAAAATACGTCCAGGGTAGCCGAGTGGACAAGGCACCTGCCCGGTAAGCAGAAGAGTGTGGGTTCGATTCCCGCCCCTGGACACTTTTTATTTTTCCGTTCGCCATTACTCTTCATGTTTCACCTTTCCATACCTCATCCTCAAAGTTAGAAATGTCGCTATTTCTCTTTGAAAATAAATTTCGATTTTTATAAAAGAAACATTCGCGGTATAATTTCAATTTTCGTTTTACATTCATCAGCCGCGTTATATTGTATTTTAAATGTTACTTTAAGTATTAGTTACGAACGGAAAAATACGTCCAGGGTAGCCGAGTGGACAAGGCACCTGCCCGGTAAGCAGAATAGTGTGGGTTCGATTCCCGCCCCTGGACACTTTTCATTTTTCCGTTCGCCATTACTCTTCATGTTTCACCTTTCCATACCTCATCCTCAAAGTTAGAAATGTCGCTATTTCTCTTTGAAAATAAATTTCGATTTTTATAAAAGAAACATTCGCGGTATAATTTCAATTTTCGTTTTACAATCATCAGCCGCGTTATATTGTATTTTAAATGTTACTTTAAGTATTAGTTACGAACGGAAAAATACGTCCAGGGTAGACGAGTGGACAAGGCACCTGCCCGGTAAGCAGAAGGGTGTGGGTTCGATTCCCGCCCCTGGACACTTTTTATTTTTCCGTTCGCCATTACTCTTCATGTTTCACCTTTCCATACCTCATCCTCAAAGTTAGAAATGTCGCTATTTCTCTTTGAAAATAAATTTCGATTTTTATAAAAGAAACATTCGCGGTATAATTTCATTTTACGTTTTACAATCATCAGCCGCGTTATATTGTATTTTAAATGTTACTTTAAGTATTAGTTAAGAACGGAAAAATACGTCCAGGGTAGCCGAGTGGACAAGGCACCTGCCCGGTAAGCAGAAGGGTGTGGGTTCGATTCCCGCCCCTGGACACTTTTTATTTTTCCGTTCGCCATTACTCTTCATGTTTCACCTTTCCATACCTCATCCTCAAAGTTAGAAATGTCGCTATTTCTCTTTGAAAATAAATTTCGATTTTTATAAAAGAAACATTCGCGGTATAATTTCAATTTTCGTTTTACAATCATCAGCCGCGTTATATTGTATTTTAAATACAAATAATATTCATCTATTTACATAAACAACAGTTAACATATAGCGAGAAGAGTAGAGGCCTGAGCACAGATACCTGAGTTACACCAGCCCATGTTCTTCGGTCCTTGGAAAATGCTCCATTGACCCGAACCTTTATTCTTCTTCCCCTTAAGAAGTCTGCAATACAGATTAAGATTTTTCCTTTTACTCCGATGTTGTGCAGCCTTTCAAGTAATTTCTCCCTTCACACTCGATCAAAAGCTGAGGTCATATCCAGGAATACGGCCGTTGTCTTCTTTGGCGTTTTTTCCTAGAAATCTATTATTGATTGACAGAAGTAGAACCGTTTATCAGTTGTACAATGCCTGGAT